TGTTTTCTGTAACGCACATGTTAAATAAAGGTTATTAAAAAAAAAAAAAGAAATGAACATGACCGGCCCAAAGTCATGTGTTCTTAGTAGTAAATTGGTATTGTGAACCCAGGACTCTTGTCTCTCATGCACTAATTAGGATATGTCATTTAAGACTCAGCAGTTAAGAAAAGAATGAGTAACTGTAACCCCTCTTTACAGCACCTTTACAATAAAATTAATTTAAAAAGTTTTTAAAGAAAAGAATGAAGGCTGGGAAGGTGGCTCAGTGGTACAGTGCTTACCTTGCATGCATGAGGCCCTGGGTTAGATTCCTCAGCACCACATAAGCAGAAAAAGCCAGAAGTGGCACTGTGTCTCAAGTGATAGAGCACTAGCCTTGAGCCTTGAGCCTTGTGCCTTGAGCTGAGGGACAGGGCTCAGGCCCAGAGTTCGGGCCCCACAACAGACCAAAAGAAAAAAAAAAAGAAGAAGAAGAAAGAAAAGAATAAGAAACTCCCTCCCATCAACAGCAGAGGGTAACTGAAAAAACCCAAGTTTAAAACTATCTAAGCAGTGCTTCTTCCTCTTTCTCAACCTAAATAGTGAAGTCTAAAAATCTGAAGGGAAGGGCTAAGAATAAAGCAGTGTCAGCTCCAGGGCAGTGCAGGGAGGGCTTTATAGCAAAAAGAACCAGCACAGTGTGAGAGGCAAATCGAGTTGTCAGGAAGGGGGGTAGGAACTTGAGGAGAGGAGGATCTTGGGAGGGGTTGATTGGAAACAATTGGCAGAACTCAAGCAAGATGAGGAGCAAGACTGGCTGCATAATTTGTGGCCAGAGTCCATAAATGAAAATGAAAATTCACAGTCTACTCAAATATTATTAAAAGTCCAGCCAGGGGAGTAAGGTTTGGTAGTTCATGCCTATAATTTCAGCTACACAAGAGACTGCGAAAGGAGGATGGCTATCTGAGGTGGGCTCAAGGCAAAAGTGCAAGGCCCTCTCTGAAAAATAAACAAAAAAGGAATGGAGGTGTGGTTTTTGTTTGTGGTTTAAAGCCCACCTGGGCAAACCCACAAGACTCTGTCTGAAAAAACAACAACAATACAACAGCCAATTAAAAGCAGGACTGGAGGTGTGGCTAAAGTGGTAGATCACTTAGTAGATGCAAAGACCTAGTTTAAATCCCAATGCTAACAATAAAAAATGATGAATTCCAGCACTAGTGGCTCATGCCTCGAATTCTAGGTACCTAGGGGGCTAAGGTATGAGAATCATGGGTCAAAGCCAGCCCAGGCAGACAAATATGAGAAACTTTTATCTCCAATTAAACAGCAAAAAGCCTGATATAGAGCGAGCTTTGGCTCAAGTGGTAGAGCACTAGCTTTGAGGATAAAAAGCAAAACGCTTCCTAATCACATTGCAAACACCTAGGAACAAGGAGTATCAGGTTTGAAGAAAGCATGCAGTGAGCTGTGTAGCTAAAAGCAAATCCCATGGCTTTTGTGTGTGTTGTGTGTGCCAGTTCTGGGCTTGAACTCAGGACCTGGGCACTGTTCCTGAGCTTCTGCTTCTTTTTTTGGGGGGGGAGGCCCGGAAGCATTTATTATTATTATTATTATTATTATTATTATTTGGGTCCGTTCATGGGGCCTGAACTCTGGGCTTGGGCGCTGTCCCTCAGCTCTTTAGCTCAAGGCTAGCTCTCTACCACCTGAGCCACGATGCCACTTCGGGCTTTTTTCTTTTTTTCTCATGTGGTGCTGAGGAATTGAACCCAGGGCCTCAGGCATGCAAGGCAAGCACTCTACCACTAAGCCACCTTCCCAGCCCCATGAATGCATTTATTATTATAACATCATTAGCACATTTGTGTTCTAGGCCCAAGTCCCACAAATTGAACAAGGCAGTTCCTTCAAGCAGGTGCTGACACCTTCCGACCTGGTTCTCCTGAGCTTCTTTTGCTTAAGGCTAGCACTCTACCATTTGAGCCACAGTGCCACTTCCAGCTTTTTCTGTTTATGTGGTACTGAGGAGTCAAACCCTGGACTTCATGCATGCTAGGCAAACAATCTACACTAAACCACATTCCTAGCCCATCCCATGGTCTCTCTCTGCCAAGTTTCCTAAATATTTGATCTAGATTATTTCTAAGTTTCTGTCTAGTCCTGAGCACTTATGAGTTTGCAATTTTTATCCTAGCTGCTAGTCCAGGGCCAGAATGGATAAAGGTCAAAATGTGAGAAGGCTCTTGGAAGCCTTATGACATCTGCCTAAGAACCATCCTCAGTGCCCCCTTGTGGTCATGTCTGGGAACAATAGGCAGAATCATGTAAATGATAATCAGTGGGAACCACCCCATCCCTAGAAGTAAAGTCTTTTAGTAAGAAAGTTCTAGTTCCCTCTCCAATGTAACCCCTCCTCCGCCAGCATCCTCTAAAGTCCTTCAGGCAACACTTAAAAGAAAAGTTGGTTCACTGTTGTGGTGGGGGTATCCTCTAGAATTTGGGCCCCAGTTATTAGTGATGCTTTCCACGTTCACATAAAATTAACGATGGAGAATAATGGCCTCCCTTGATGGGATGACCTAGGTTAGGGTCAGGGCTCGGCCTGAAGCCAATGGCAGAAGCTGCTATCAAATATGGGATCAGCCTCAGACTTGGGAGCTAAGAGTGGGTATGGGGCTGAGCTTCTCTTTAAAAGAAAACAAAAACCAGGCTTTACCTCTACTCTAAAAGAAATGAGCAACTGACCTGAGCTCTCCTTCCTGAGGCTTGTCTGCTTCACAGTGTGACAGAAGCCAGGTCCTGTCAAATCCTATAGAACATTTTCCTTTAAGCCCAGCATGGTGGGGCATGCCTGTAATCCCAGCATTCCAGGTGATGAGGTAGGAGGATTGAGTTCCAGTGCAACCTGGGCATGTATGAGATTGTCTCCAAAACAGACCCTCGCAGCACTTTTTCTCTCACTGCTTTGCTTTCCTCATTACCTAGCAACTCTGAAGAAACCAAACCCCTGCTCTTCCAAGCCAAGCTGCACTACAGACCCTGCCTCTACCACCACTTGTTCTTTCAAATCAGCAGTGCTGATCCAGGAGGATCTTTGCACCTGCCTCTCTGCCCTGGCAAGCTTCCAGCTACCCTTATCTCCTCAATGAGGCACTCCAGATCAAACTCGAGGTATCTCTGTCACAGCTTCTACCACCCTGAGTATTCTCAGCTGTTTCCAGCATTTGTCTCCGCAGCCCACTCCCAGTTTCTGGCATGGAGGAGCTATTCCTAAGGCAAAATGGCAAGGATAGACAGTGGACATTGGAAGGAAGTTGGTGGTCCTTTGGTCTTAGGTGGGAAGTGGTTCAAGCTTAGTACTTAATGTTCTTAGAACCCACCAAACTGAGTAGAACAAGAACAGACCAGCATGCTGGGTGCTGGTGGCTCATATCTGTAATCCTAGCTACTGAGGAGGATGAGATCAGAGGACTGCATTTCAAAACCAGCCTGGGCAGAAAAGTCCTCATGAGACTCTTATCTCCAATAAAACACACAAAAACCATAAATGGTGCTGTGGCTCAAGTGGTAGAGTGCTAGCCTTGAGCACAGAGGCTCAGGGACAGTGCCCAGGCCCTGAGTTCAAGCCCCACAACCACCACCACCACCAACAACAACAAAAACCCAGAGCAGTAGTGTCTCATAACTTTGTGTCTAGGGTGACAGTAGTCTAGGTGGTCCCTTTTTGCTACAGCTGTGGTAGGGAACATGGTTTGGGTAGCCCCTCTGCCATTCTGCAGAGCCATCCTTTGAGAGCTTGCCTTTTAGCATTCATCCCCTCCTCTTTTGTGTGGGATGGACCTACACACTCCAGGCCCTGCCTGAGACATCACTCCTGGAGGCTAGTTACAAAAGGCTGTGTCCTAGAATCACTTCACCCTGGCTTTTCTCATCTATCCTCATGAAGCCTGTTTTCACTCCACCTCTGTGGGAGTGCACTCATGACAAGGAACCCAGAATGGCCTCTGGTTGATAGCCCAGGAGGAAGAGATAATCTCACCACTCACATGAGTATCTTGGGAAGTGGTTTGGGCTTGAGCCACCTGTGGCCTGGGCCAACACTGGGACTGCAGACTTGGGCAGAGACCGAGCAGAGGACTCTGTCTCAGGGCTGGGAGAATAAATGTAAAAAGCTCCTAAGTTTTGAAGCCACCTGTTACACAATAGACAAGCAGAACCCCAGAGGGTCCTGCAGGCAGCCCCAGCCCCAACGATGACTCATGGAGGGTTCTAGTTTCTGTTTATTTGTCTAGGAATATACAAAAGTCTGACATGGTACAGCAATCTCATAGAGAGAAAACACACAGGAGGGACCCCAATACTCTGAGGAAGGCACACATATGGAAAGCTAAGGATTGGGGGCCTCCTGTCCTGGACCCAGTTTATGAACAGAACAGGGGCCGGTCCTCTCACCAGACTTTGGGAGGCTCAGGAAAACCAAGGCATCTGGGAAGTATGTGCTTCTCCAGGCCAAGGCTGAGCTGGGCGAAGTCCAGGCTGTCAGCCTCTGGAGCAAAACCAGTCACTTCCAGTCTGTGGTGAGTGAACAGTGCCTCGGGGAGAGAGCCCCGTCCCCAGCACAATATCGCAGGGGGCCTGTTCGATTTGGACAGACTTGTGGGAAAGGTGAGGAGGCAGAAAGAACACCCAAGCTGGAACATTCAAGATGCTTCCACTGTCCTCCCCAAGTGGGAGAGGTGTGTCCTTTGTGTCCTCCCCCGAGTCCTGCAACCCCATGAGGGGGGTAGGAATGGAGGTGTTTATGGCTTCTACCTTGCAGCTCTGAGGAAAAGAGTGGATCATTTAACCAGCTTGGGTTTCTAAGGGCCCAATCAGGGCGAGCTTTCTCTATCATTTTGGGGAGGAGGAATCATAAAGGGGCTGTGTGCTCATCACCACCAGGAACAGGACACACTGAAAGTGAGAGAGCTGGAGATAGTGACTTGTTCCTTCTGAAAAAAGACCTAACATTGTAATGGTTTAACAAATTATAATTTCTTTTAAATAACCCACAGACACCCATCACGCTTCCAAATTTACAGAACAAAAAGCACTTGAGAATGCTCGGTAGAAAACGATTTTGCCCGCTGGTTCCTTCCAGGAGCTGACTTCTCAAGGGCTGGATTGGTTAGTTCACCTCCAGGACCTCTGTCTCTGGGAGGCCGAACTTGGTCTTGTGCCTGTCGAAGAGCTTCACCAGGGCCTCCATGTACATGGTGTGGTATAGGTCAATGTCCTGCTGGGTTGGGTGCTCCAGTTTGGGGATGGTGATGGGCTCACCCACTGTTGAGGAAGGATGGAAAAGGCATGAGGTCAGTAAATGCCATCAGCTATCCCAGGGTCCAGGGTGATGCTAATCACTTGGCAGGGACTATGCTTCATCCCAGACCATCTCCTTCTATGATTGAGAAGACTGAGGCTCCAGAGCATGAGAAGGAAGCAGCCTAAGATCACACAGCAGAGAAATTAAGAGAAGATGAAATCAACTCACTGTACCCAGCCAGAAGCTACCGTGCAAGGCATGGAATCAAGTGAACCACTCTACTTTGGCTCTGCTCAGGGAAAGCTATGTTTCCTCATCTGTCATCTGGGGAATCCTCCTCATAGGGCTTAACTAAGGATTGTCTGAAGAATGGAATGTGCTTTGAACAGTAGGGAAGGACAGAAGTATGTGTGGGGGGGGGGGGGAGACCAACTCTCCCCTTCTATGCCTGTTTCTGTTCTCTTATCCTGCTTATCTCCAAACCAGCCCATCTCTAGGTCAAATGCTCTTTGTGAGGTTTCTCCTCCAGCTCCCCTGTCACTCTATCCATCCAAGATACAGGCCACCACCACCAAGAAAGCCTGGAGACTGGTTCTGTGGCTTCCCATCAGGCCTGTTCTAACTCATTTGCTGTTCAGCAGCCCCAGGGGTCACTTTAAAATGTCCACCAGAACCAGTCTTCCCAGCTTTATACCAGATGAGAAGCCAAGGCCTTCCTCTGCCCCAGGACCTGTCCCCTCTCCAGCCACACCTGTGCTGTGGGGGAAGTGTGTGCGGCTGCCTCCACTCTGTCTAGGAGAGCTTTGGTCTTTGAAGTGCACTATTCTGATCCACAAGCTCTACTGACATGATCTCTGGCCTGTGATCTTCAACCCATGACTACATACACGTGCCCAGCAGGTGATAAGACTGAAATTCTCTAATATGTCCCAAACACACCCAAAACAGCACAGCCAGTGTTTTGCCACACTTCTAATGGGTCTATGCTCCAGTTGTTTTTTTCTTTCTTTTCCTCAAAAAGCCACAGAATCCTGTTACTGGGACTTCTTTTAGGCTACTTTTCTTTTCTTTTTCTTTTTTCAATTTTTTTGTAGTATTAGAGTTTGAACTCATAGTTTCACTTGAACCAGTCCTTTTTTGTTGTAATTTTTCTTTTCAGATAGGGTTTCTAATTTTTCCCTAAGACCAGCCTGGACATGATCTTCCTACCTATGACTCCTAGATTTACAACACCAGCTTACTGGCTGACATAGAGGGGGAGGGATGTCTCCCTTTTTGCCAGGGCCAGCTTCAACCTATGATCCTCTTAATTTGTGCCTTCTAAGTTTCAGAGATCACCACAGTGTATGTAGCCCAGCTTCCTCTAGGTCATTCTTTTTGATAGCACTCTCTTCTGCCCTTTTGTGAGTACATAAATCCTATTATTACCTAATAATGCCAGAGTCACCTCCTTGATAGGAGCTACTGCAACACCCCCTCAACTTGCCTGCAGGGCTTTCCTCATGTGACTTTATGCTTTTCACTCCCCACTCCCACTGGCCACCTCCTACCTCCACTCCTAGTACCTAAGCGGTCAGAGCCAGGTAGCCTCCCAGCCACCCTGCTGTGCATTGGATGGCCTTCTGTGTGTGGGCTGGGACTCACCTACAGTGGTGATGGGCTTGGAGTAGGGCACTAGCCCCCAAGTATCAGATGAGAAGAGGCCTCGGCCATGGAAGATGCATGGGGCAAAGCCAATATACTTCTGGAACTTCTTCTGGACCCACCGTCCCCAGGAGCCCTCCTCGAAGATCACCTGCTTGTACACCTCATTCTCCCCGAAGGAGTAAGTAGGAACCAGGTCAGCTCTGCAAGAGAGAGGTCAGGGTCTGTCACACCGAAGAAACTGGCTTTAGTTCCTATGGTCACCCTAGAGGACCTGGACACCAGGCAAGCTGTCCCTTGATTCTTAGGGTAGATCAGAACCTCTGGTCCTTCATTCCAGATTAATTTTCTTGCCAGTCCTGGGGCTTGAACTCAGGGCCTGGTGCTGTCCCTGACCTTGCTCTAGGACATCTCTCTATAACTTGAGCCACAGCTCTACTTCTGGCTTTTTTTTTGGTAGTTTGTTGGAGATAAGAATCTCAGGGGTATGCCAGGTGGTAGTGGCTCACACCTATAAACCTAGCTACTCAGAAGGCTGAGATATGAGGATCTTGGTTTGAAGCAAGTCTAAGCAGGAAAGTCCACTCATCTCCAAGTGCCAAGTGGCAACTATGGCTCAAGTGGTACAGCACTAGCTTTGAGCAAAAGCTCAGGAATAGCACCCAGGCCCTGAGTTCAAGCCTCAGATCAGAGAAGAAGAAGGAGGAGGAGGAGGGAGGAGGAAGAGGGAGGGATGAAGAAGGAAGAGGAGGAGGGAGGAGGAGGAGGAGGAGGAGGAGGACAGGAGAAGGAGGAGGAGGGAGGAAGGAGGAGGAAGAGGGAGGGATGAAGAAGGAGGAGGAGGAGGACGACGAGGAGGGAAGAGGAGGAGGAGGAAGAAGAATCATCATCTCATGGGCTTTCCTGCCTGGACAGGCTTGGAACTAGGATTACAGGTATAGGCCCCCAGCGCCCAGCGTCTTCACTCCAGATTCTTATGCCTCTCTGCTCATCACACAGGGATACCTGCTCTGGAAGGCCACACTTGCCCCCATCAGTCAGGGCCTGATTCCTTGTCCCAGCCTACCTCAGGCAAATCTGAAGTCACCCTGGAGCCACCCTGTGTCACAGACTCAGCACACTGTGTTTTCTCCATGTGTCCCTCCACTCCCACAGCTGCTGCTGTTCCCTAAAGGCAGAGACTGGTCGGCCAAGGGCAGACTTAGGGCTAAGTTCTGCAGAGAAGCCTCTTCTAAAGTCCGAGATGTGTCCTGGGAGGGCAGAGAAGAGATGCTCTGCCTTGACCACACTCCTACACAGCTGGAGCCTCCTTGGCATGGCCAAGTGTCCTCTCTAACTTGTGACTGTAGGCTACATCCCAGCCTTTGCATAGCTGCAGGTCCATCATCCTAAGAACTGATTTGGGCCCAAAGCCCCAAATCTGGGAGGAAAGCAGTAGATATGGACAGCAAACACTACTCTGAACTGGCTCTGCCCCCCACAGACTAAGCAGGTGGGGATGCAGTCTCCTTGTACAGGCAGTCAAAGAGAGCCACAGCAGCAGATGTGTTTGTCAGAGGGTAACAGGGGATAATGCCAATGTGTCACAGTTCAGCTCCTCCCCTGACCTCCAAGTTACCCTCCTATGAACCTTCCCTCTCATTTCTAACCATGCCAGCTCCTTTTGGCCTTAGGTGTTTTTTCTTTCTTTTTCCTTTTTTTTTGGGGGGGAAGGGGAGTGTTAGGGTCTAAAGCCACTGACAAAACATGCTAGGCACTTGCTCTCCCACTGAGCCACAGCCTGGCCCCTAAGTTCAGGTTGTAAGTCTTTACACACCCTACTTATGAGCCTGGCCACTCGCTCTACCTACAAGAACCCAAGGGTCACAGGCTAAACCTTTTCTTCACCTGTACTTGAGCACACTTGGCCCACATTACGCAGGCCAGCTTCCAACTTTCCCTCCCTTCTTTGCTTTCTTAGAGCACGTACCCTCCTCCCTTCCAGAGGCCTAAAGGCCTGTTGCCTAGCCTGAGGAGATCACTGGAGGTGCGTGCTTGCATGCACAGGCGCGCTTACCCATGGCGCAGGGCCAGTTTCACAAAGCCCTTGCGGTTCCGCAGAGTGACTGCATTCTTGCCAGGCATGGAACTCAAAGACTCAGCTGCACCCCCTACTACGATGATGATGGCATTGCCACTCCCATTCTTTGAAAGCAGGTAGTCTATGGTGTCCCGGTTGACAGGACAGATGCCTGGAAGGGCAACAGGGACACAGATCAGGATTGCACATGGATGCACTCACTACCCACGTGCACAAATAGAAAACAAAACCTATCCTTGAACTCCATACCTGTATGACCCTATGATAATTACCTTTTGAGCCTCAGCTTATCTGTAAAATGAGGAAAATGATAGGAGGTAGGTGGGGAATTCAACTGAACAAACTTTCTCTGGGGTCCTAACTCTGTCAGGCTGGTGCTTGGTGCTGAAGCTCTCATGAGTCAGGCAGTTGTGGATCATGGCAGGTAGACAACGACCAGGTTGTAAAACACACAGTACAAGGGTTGGTATGTTCAGAAAAGGGAGCCAGCATGACTCCTAAAGACCCCATGAGCCGATCTCCCTAACCTAGGTGTCTGTAGTAACTTGCATCTCCCCACAAGGCACCAGCACCAGTGGAACAGTGTTTGTTTCTGTGTGCCATCCTGCTTGTAGGCTTTGGCAAGGGTGAGCAGGGTGAGAGTCTCACCTCCTGACATCAAGTACTCCCGCAACACAGGCATCCGGAAGTTGCCAGCCAGTGTGGCCAGGTAGGGCCTTATGCCAGGGAATTTCTTGCTCACTTCGGTGGCCTCTGTGCTGAAGTTGCAGAAGGCTCCTAGGCCCATGATGCCATGAGGGTGGTACCCAAAGATGTAGTTCCTGGTCGTTACTAGGTTGTGCGTCTTCACCAGCTGCAAAGAAAGCCATGGGTCAGAGACCAATGTCCAGGAAAAGGGTACCGACCAAGGCATGTCTAAAAGGTGGGGAAGGGACTCTGTGGGCCCAACAGGCTGTAGTGGCTATGCAAACTTAACCTCAGACTCTCATCATTGGGGCCATTATGGGGACTCTCATTCCCCTGTGCTTCCCAGCCCGCCCCCCACTCCCACCCCCCTGCCCCAACACAGGGATCATTTATTCACATCTGGCCATCCTCCTGCCTTCTTGTCTCTGGATTCATCTTCCCCACCTCAACCAGAGTGATTTGCTCTAAAATTCAAATCCAACTTGGCCCACTCAGACTAAAAAGGGTATCCGCTCAGGGGAAGAGTCTTGTTTAGCAAGAGGGGACTCAGCGGCAGTTCTGTCAGCCACAGTCAGCCTTCCCTGCCTGGGAGCTCCCTGGAAGAAGGGTCTGTCTGGCTTGGTACCCTAAAGACTCATCAGTAGCTTACAGGACAACAGTGACTAGTAGCCCACCTCCTACTTCTCCAGTAGCCAAGGAACAAAACAGCTGGCCTGACGGAAACTTCCTGTCAGGCAGCCAGGCTCTGCTCAGGTTCTGAGGCAAGAAAGACAGGACAGAGCAAATGTCAGCCCTGTACCAGCCAGTCCTAGGGGGTGGGGGATGGGGGGGAAGGTGCATAGCTGCAGCAGCTGACAACCTGACCTGTGCCACTGTCAACACAGTTGTCCTGGGATGCTCCAAAGAACAGTGGGCTTCCTCAGGACCCATGGCATGCCCTGAGGCCCCTGGGGCAGTACAAAGTATCCCTGACCAAGCAAAGGCTAGACACGGGACTGGGCTGAGGAGGGAGGGGTGCCAAGTGGAAGGGACAGTAAGAGTGCTCAACACCCATCTCCTTCTGATTAGAAAAATAATACTCAGGAAGAACACATAGACCACAGGAAAATAAAGCACGACATGACCTCCCTCATTTCTACCAGATACAGCCTTGTACCTATCAGACAAAGCTATGCCAGTGTAGCAGCACTGCCTCATGTCCAGATTGATGGCCATTTTTAGTGTTCAAATTTCCTATGTGAAGCTATGCTTCAATAAATACCTTCTCTTTGTGCTCATTCCTGTTTTCATGAGATAAACTTCCAGAAATCTAACTTTCCTGAGCCAAAGCAGTGCATGTGGGTCTGGGCTGCTTGTTTAGAGATATTTGGGAACTTTTGGGGCCAAAAGTGAAAGCTCTTGCACTCAATTTGGGGAGCAGAGTGCCTGGTGATAGCCTCAGAAAAATGAAATGCAGGTGCTGGTGGCACTTGCCAGTAATCTGAGCCACTCAAAAGGCTGAGATCTGAAGAGCAGAGGTTTGAGACTTTTCTGAATACATAAATCCAAGAGAGTCATATTTCTAATTAACAAGCGAAAAGCCTGTCTGAAATAGAAGTATGGCTCAACTGGTAAGAGTGTCAGCTTTGCCGGGCGCTGGTGGCTCACGCCTGTAATCCTAGCTACTCAGGAGGCTGAGATCTGAGGATCACGGTCCAAAGCCAGCCCGGGCAGGAGAGACCGTGAGACTCCTATCTCCAATAAACCACCAGAAAACCGGAAGTGGTGCTATAGCTCAAGTGGTAGAGCGCTCGCCTTGAGCAGAAGAGCTGAGAGACAGTACCCAGGCCCAGAGTTCAAGTCCCACGACCGACAAAAAAAAAAAAAAAGAGTGTCAGTTTTCTGCAAAAAAGTCAAGCAAGAGCAAGAGGTCCTGAGTTCAAGCTCCATTACTGGCACACAGAAAGAAAAGAAAGAAAAAAGAGAGAGAGGGAGGGAAAGAAGGAAAGGAAGGAAGGAAGGGAGAGAGAGAAAAAAAGAGAGGGGAGGGAGGGAGGGAAAAGAAGGAAAAAAAGGAAGGAAGGAAGGAAGGAAGAGAGAAAGGAGGGAAGGAGGGAGGGAAGGAAGGAGGGAAGGAAAAGAAGGAGGGAGGGAAGGAAGGAAGAAAGGGAAAGAAAGCAAGTGCAGCTATTTTTCTTTTTGTCCTGTTTGTTCATTTATCTGTCTTTGGGAGGGTAAGAGGGACCACAGAAATGAAGGGACAAAGGGTGAACAAATGTAGCAGTGGTACTCACTAGACACTATATACTAAACACTATACAATTCATGGGTGGGGATGGGAGGGGAAAGGTGACATTGTCCAAAAGTAAATTTTTTGTGCTGGTCCTGGGGCTTGAACTCAAGACCTGGTGCTCAGGACCTAAGCCTCTCTGTGCTAAAGGCTAGCGCTCTCTACTACTTGAGCCACAGCGCCACTTCCAACTTTTTCTGAGTAGTTTATTGGAGTTAAGAGTCTCATGGACTTTCCTGCCCCAGCTGGCTTCAAACCATGATCCTTATATCTCAGCCTTCTGAGTAGCTAGGATTATAGGCATGAGCCACCAGTGCCTGACTATAAATGTATTCTTTACCTGACTTCTGTAACTGTAACCTCTGTATATCACCTTTATAATAACAATAAAGAGGAAGGAAGGGAAGGAAGGAGGGAGAGAAGAAGGGAGGGGAAAATGAAAATGGAATGGAGTGGTAGATACCCCTCCCAGCTCTGCTGAGACCTGTATTATGAATGTAAACCAGGAAGTGGTGGTGTGGCTCAAAGTGGTAGAGCACTAGCCTAGAGAAGAAAAAGCTCAAGGACAGTGCCTACACCCTGAGTTCAAGCCCCATGACTGACAAAATAAAAAAATAAAATTAAAAATATTCAAAAATGAATGTAAACCAGATTCCCTTAGTGTCACCCCTAGTGTAAGGTATTCCATCTCTTTTGGAGGTGAGGGCAATCCTAGGACTTGAACTCCGTAACTGAGTGCTGTCCTGTCCTATCCTTGATCTTTTTTTTTTTTTTGTTGTTGTTGTTCAAGGCTAGTATTCTACCATTTTAGCTACAGCACCAATTTCAACTTTTTGGTGGTTAATTGGAGATAAGAGTCTCATAGACTTTCCTGCCAAGGCTGGCTTTGAACCTGACTCTCTTATCTCAGACTCCTGAGTAGCTCAGATTACATAGGCATGAGCCTGGGACTTCCCGTCTTAACCTGCCTTTGGCAAACAGATCGAAGCTGCTTGAGAACTCTGATAGCTCTCTGCTGTCCACTCAATGACTATGGAAGGCCAGGGCTGGAAGCAATGAGGGCTCTACAAGGCTGTGTAAAGCTAGGGGTGTTGCCTTTGCCAGACAGGGCTGCCCACCTACCTAGTCCTCAATAAAGTCAGAATTAAAAGGCACCTTGGGACAGTTCCCACAGGAAGGAAAGCATGAAGAGAAGAGCCCAAATGCCTCTTCTTCCTAGAAGAAACCCAAGTCTGGAAACTTGTTCCTGATTGACAGCCAGACCCAGCCCTGTTACCTGTAGCTGAAGCAAAGAATGGACCACAAAGCCTATAGATCTGGCCATTCCTTGGATGCCAAGGTTGACACTGTGGCCTACAGAGAGGTACTGCAACTGACCCCAGGAGGTCACCTCACTGTACTTCTTCCTGACCTCTGTGATGAAAATGTGTTACCTGGTGGGCTCTATCTGATGGGCCAGGTGGCTCCATGAGGCTCTGCATGATGCCCAATAGGTTAATGCCCTTGGTACCACTCCCAGAAGAATGGAAACATCTGATAGAGCTCTCATCTGTGGCCTGGTCACACTCCCCTCACGTAGCAGTGGACAGAACGTCCACTCCAGAGGGAGGAAGGGCACTGCTGCTGAGTTCTGTTGACAAGCCTGTTCTCATGGCCAAGTCCCAGCCTAACAGGGTGTCCATGCCAAGCCTACTGGCCAATGTGAGACTGGGATACATTCCTGGCAGGTCACATACCCTGCCTCCTAGGACAGAAAAGGTGCTCAGGGAGGCTTGTCCTTCCCCAGCTCCACACCAAGGAAGGCTCTGAGCCTCACATGGGGAGAGGCAGGGAGAGGCAGAACACAGAAGTGGAGCAGCCTGAAGCAGGCAGCCCTGGCTCCTAAGCCATTTGCCATTGATTGGTTTCATGACTGTGCAGGCAAGTCCTTCCTCTCTGAGCCTCAGAGTGCCCATCTGTGAAATAAAGCAGTTGGACAGACAAATGATTTGAAACTTAAGAGTCTTTCCAAGCCTGCTCTCCAAAGGTCCTTCATATATCTCAAGGAGGGGTGATCCAGGACACCTCTTCCAGGTGGCTGCTGCTGACACTTGAGCACTAATCTATGCCAGGAAAAGTGTTCTCCAGGCCAGCTGGGCTGCTTTGGAGGCAGAGAGCCAGAGCCTCACCAGGAAGGAGTGGGGAGGGTGAGGAGGTAAGTGACAGATCACTATACGAGCATAGGACGACAGGATCACACTTGGTTTTTGTCCTGGTGCCAGCTTGCGCATACCCTGGCTTCAATCCCAGCTGGCTTCTCAGAACACAGAAGGGACAGAGGACATGGGGTGTGTCTAGGTTCTTTTTTTTTTTTTGGTCAGTCGTGGGGCTTGAACTCCAGGCCTGGATGCTGTCCCTCAGCTCTTCAGCTCAAGGCTAGTGCTCACTGGGAAGTGGCTCAGTGGTAGAGCACTTGCCTTGCATGCATGAGGCCCTGGGGATTCCTCAGCACCACATAAGCAAAAAGAAAAAAGCCGGAAGTGGTGCTGTGGCTCAAGTGGTAGAGCGCTAGCCTTGAGCTGAAGAGCTGAGGGACAGCGCCCAGGCCCAGAGTTCAGGCCCCATGACCGGACCCAAAAAAAAAAAAAAAGGCTTGTGCTCTACCACTTAAGCCACAGCACCACTTCCAGTTTTCTGGTGGTTAATTGGAGATAAGAGTCTCACAGACTTTCTTGCCTGGGCTGGCTTTGAACTGCGATCCTCAGATCTCAGCCTCCTGAGTAGCTAGGATTACAGGTGTGAGCCACCAGCACCTGCGTGTCTGGGTTCTTTTGGAAGGGTAGAGATGGCGGGGGGGGGGGGGAAGGACAACTGACTAACCATCAGGTCTGACCAATGGCCATCAAGTCACCCTGATCTGGGTAAGAGGGCTTCCAGCCTCCAGGAAATCTTCTGGGGATGAAGCTACAGCCACAAGAGAGAACACTGTAGCCTGACTCCTAGGGCAGGAAAGAAAGAGACAAAAGAATGGAACCCATTATTGTCCCTCTCAACTGTGACACAAGGGTATGTCACTTAACAGCTCCATTGAGCAGAGGAAGCAAGTGACTCTCAGTGAGCTTGAGAAAGTCTGTACAAAAAGAGACAGTCTAGAAGGATTCATCAGACAGTGAGCCCATCCCAAAGGCAGGCACAGGGCTCATTCTTCTGTGTCTGCAGGGCTAGCACAAAGCCAACAACAGACAAACTCAATGGCTTGTCAGTGAATAGGAGGACAACTAACTCAGGGACTTAGACCCATGTCTTCAACAGCAGAGGGAAAGAAGGCAGTGGAGATCTAGGGACTGAGTCTCTCTTGGGTGGGAAACAGGTGATGGGAGCTGGATTCAGGAGCCTGGACTCCAACATTCCTGCTGTATAGAATGGATAAGTCCTGACCCTCTGGGACTCAGAGGCTTAACCTCCAAAATGAGAGGCTTCCTCCAGCTATAGCAATCTCAGACCATTCAGACATGGGTGTCAGAACAGGGAGGAGAGGGAACTGTGACCCTGAGAGACAGGAAGGGCCTGGTCAGGACCAGGTGGGCAGAGGGAGTGACCCTAGAGGGCCACCCCAAAATTGCAAGCAGTGCAGGAATGCACCTCCAGGCAGCAGGACAGGAGGTCTCTGTGTTGACTCACAACCCTGGTACACCTCCCTGCATCATGCATAGGACACTTTCAGGTTCACATGCTACCTCCACCTTTAGGCCCCTGCTTTCTGCTGGGCAGCTTTGGGGCTTGGGTGTGCCAGGGCTGGGTGCTGAGGGAGGCTCTGCCACGACAGTCCACAATCCTCCACTTGTGTCAGGGCCAGGCAGCTCTGCTTTATCCCTCAGCTTGCAAACCCAGCAGGGGAACAGATAGAGCCAAGGCATTCAAGTGCTCAGAGGAGCACCATGGAGGCCCTCAAGCAGCCTAGGGTGTCACAAGAAGGAAATTCAAGGACCATTTGGGTCTAAACTTGCTTCCTGGGGTGGGGGTGGGGGCTGCTGTGTCCTGAAAGACAGGCTCCCACTCTAGCCATAATAGGCTCATCCTGTATCCTGTCTCCATACCCCCAGTGTGGGAAGCCCAAGTCACTCCTCCAGCCGACCTCTCACAGCTCTGATGTACAGAGAGGCCTCGTCCTAGGCTGGGAGAAGCCCAGGCTTTCAAGCAAGATGGCAATTGTAATCTCAGGAAATCTTGGCGACTCTCTGACCCTGCGGCTCTTCTTCAGGAGAAAAGGACAGAGTTCAGGGCTGCCTTCTAGGCTGCCATGAGAAAAAGTGCTGGCTCCTAATAAACAAACTCTCCATCTTCTCTGTTGTCTTTACCAACCAACACCCCCACCCTGTTTTTCAAACCCAAGACCTCTGTTCTCAGTTTCCCCTGGCTCCTCAGTACCACACATCCTCAAAGCAACTCTAGACCAAACCCTTCCAAAACTACTTTCCAACCTTGGAGGCTTGTCCTTTGTTCACTGCTCATCCCCATGGCTATGACCCCAGTGAATGAAAGAGAGAAGTGACAGTTCTCTAAGACCTTTGGAAGGAAACAAAACCTCTCACACCACATATGTAACTTCTAGACCTAGTTCAGGCTAGATAAACTTGACATACCTTGATACTGCTGCTCGGGATAAACCACCCTCATTGTAAACTATGTTCTGAAGTCACAGAAAAGCAAACAATGCCCATAATATATGCAGCTGTATCACCCCGCTGGATCTCTCAGATCCAAAAGCTAAAACAAGTCTTGTTTCCCCAACAATAACAACAACTAGAAACTTGCCTTCCCCAAACAAAGTCAATGACTATTATGTTTCTCTTTTGCCTTGACTGCCAGGAAGCTCAAAGCTGAATGTGAAGTTCAACTGAAGGAACTTACTTATAGCTGACATACTAGAATCCTCCTGCTCCAAGTCTTTCTCCTTATCTAGTATGGCACTACGTAACTCAAAAGGCAGGAATAACATAACCTGATGCTCATAGGGGAAAAGCTCACTTCAACACCCAGATATGGTCATTGTACAGGGGTGGATTAAGTCCTGAGTTCAAGTTTCCTTCCATTCCCACCCTCCCAAGTTACCACCCACAAGTCTTTACCTGGATGGGAAAGTAGTCACGAAAGTAGCGCCACACAGCCCAGTTCCGTACCCACTGTGATCTCCTGCCACCTTCCAGGGAACAAAACACAGTGTTAGTAAGAAGTGAAGGTGTGGGACATTTGGGTAATGCAGACAAGAGAGAGCTAGTGTGAGCCCCTGCAGGAGGCACCCCTCAGGCCCATGCTGCATCTTCCTCCCTGCCCAACAGGCTCCTTCCCACACACATTCCCAGGATTATGAAAGCCTTGATGGAAGGTGCTAACTGGACCTCTGAACCCCCACCCAAGGCTGCACACTGCCCTGCCCTGTGCTGTCCGTAAAATAGGTGTGTTACATAAAACAAGGCTGCACCCATGAGGAAATGAGGAGGACTAGATGTGGCTACGCAGGGGGAGTAGGAGCTTACCTTTCTTGGGTGTGTTCCAGTCAAATGCCAGCCAGGTGAAGTAGAGCACAGAGATGAGCCAGCAATCGGTACAGAAGGTGTACATGAGGATGAGGCTGCAGGCCACTCCTGGGGGGGGTGGGGGGCAGCCACAGGTGAGGCTCAGTCCTCCTACTGTTTCCTGGAGCACTTAGCCTGGGGAGGAGGCAAGGCCATGGACTCCAGCGTGATCTAGATTCTGCCAGGCAGTCTTGGTGCTGAGGGGGGGAATGGGCTCCGTGGTGTGTGGGCAGCAGTATCAGAGGAGGGAACAGCCTCCTGTAGAGTTGTGCCCATGGTCCCTCCCCACAGCTCTCCCTGTGTTGCTGGCTCAGCAAAATCACTGTGGATCAAGGGAGGAGACAGCTCCCAAGTGCCTCTGTACTTCTCAGGCCTGGGTTAAGCCAGTGACCTTTATTCTCATTTTAGAGATGAGAATATTGAGGCTGAAGGGGAGGTGACTTGCTCAGGTCCCGCAAGAGGACAGCAGCAGAGCTAGCATTCAAACTGGGATCTGATTCTGAAGTGCACACTCTGCGGTAGGCTTCAGAAGTTCACAAAAGACGAGATGTCTCAGAGATGCGCCAGAGGGACCCCAATAGGAACTTGTGAAACAGGAAGAGAGCTGGCTCTGTCCAACACAAGGGAGGGCCAGGCAATCCCAGGCCAAAGCCGGAAGTCTGCTTCCCCTCCAATCCCAGCAGAATGCTTGAAAGACTCTTCTGCAGATCTCTGGGTCCTGGGCCTGCTGGCCATGGGCTGAACCCAACACCAGAGGGAAGGGAAGTGTGAACCTGCATGGTTTATCTCATGGTGTGCCTGCCCCTAGTTGCCCTTGTCAGGGCTGCTTTCTCTCCAGTGTTTGCTTTGCCTTTCAGGCCTAGCTCAGGATCAATCTATCCCTCAGAGGGGATCTGGCCCCTCTGAGTTCTTCATACTGGGGTGGGGAGAATCTTTGTCCTCTGAAACTCAGCGGAGACCAAGGGACAGCAGGACCCATGCTTGGTAGAAGAGGTGTGGGAGAGGCCTGGCCCAGGAATTCAGTGCCCTCTTTTACCATAATGAGCAGTTCCTCTAGAAGGCCGGGGAGAGGACAGGCTCTGTGAGCCTAAGGGCAGAGAAATGGCACCCTTGTCGCATCTCTTCCCAAAGCCAGTGCTATTCTGGATGTAAGAGCCATGCTAAAACCCAGAACCATCTGGATAGAGTGACCAAGTATCTGGTTCTGGGGGCAGTATGGAAGGGACATCACACATGGGGAAGGTGAGTCCTGGAAAATATCTGCAGGTCACATCCCCTGGTACAGGCAACTGTGGCATTCCTCAGGCAGCTGGGCAAAATGCCACATCTATGTTTAGGCTGCTTACAAAGTCACATTGTTCAGCAGCTTGCCTCAGGTCCCCTTGCTTGGGGCTGGCAAGGCTCCACACCATAGCCCCACACCCTGCAGGGACTGCAATCCCTGTGGCAATTGGTGAGTGCAGAAGGAGGACCAGAACAGGGTCTGTGTGGTTCACACTGGAGTGTGAGCAGCATGAAGACCTAAATGCCAGTAAACCCCAGCTCTCTTAGAGGTAGCAGGCTGACGGGGCCTATGCATGGAGGGCTGGTATCCCTGAGAGGGAGCTATTCTTACTATGTAGCTAAAGCAACCTAGACAAAGAATGAAAAGATGGATGAGGCCAGGAACCAGTGTCTCATACCTGTCAGTCTAGCTACTCAGGAGGCTGAGAGTTCAGGATTGAGATTCAAGGACAGCCTTGGCAGGAAAGTCCATGAAACTCTTTCCTCCAATGAAATACCAAAAAAGCTGGAAGTAGAGTTGTAGTTCAAGTGGTAGAGCATTAGCCCTGAGTACAAAGGGTCAGGGACAGTGCCCAGGCTGTGAGTTAATGCCCCAGAGATGGCACACATTAAAAAAAAGATAGGATCCCAAGGAAAGCATTTCAGTTTCAGCCCTTCTCATTTCTCTTATCATCTGCCCCTCTTATCAGATTCCCTGTAGTAAAAGCTTCCCTGAACTCCTTGGGAGGAAGAACCCAGCCACCAACATGGAAAGTTTTATTGGACAAAATGATCAGATCTGGGGGTGGGAGTGTGGCTCAGGTGGTAGAGCGCTGGCCAATGACTGAAAGCCTCAGATACCAAGTTCAAGTTCGGGTCTCTGACAAAAAAAATTAAATAAAGTAAAATAAAATCCATCAAATCTTTCTTTCTCAGTGTCTAGTCCTTGTTCTCCTTTGGAAAGGCTGTCCCTTATTCTGCTTTCTTAGGCTGCAGTGGGAACTGAAGTCATGAGACCCATGAGACGTAAACACTCTCAATGCAGTGAAGAGCCCACTCACTTCACAGCCTGTCTTCCTGTACAGCATGGGATCACAAAGCACCTCGTGTAGTGAGGCCTGTGGTGCAGGGCAATCTGTGATGCTCAGTGTCCATGCAGACAGGACAATAGTGAGCACTGTGGTCCTGTCACAGACTGCCACTGCTCAGACCTGAGCTCTACTTCCTTCCAGGATGTTGAGAAAACAAAATGAGTGTAATGTACAGTCTGGCAACACAGTATTGATGGCCAGGGCTAGGGTAGCAAGTGACATGTAAATCTGCACTCATCTCTCATGGAGGCTTAGCCCTTATGGGTATAACAAACTGCAGAAGTCTCAGCACTGTCTGTTGACAGGAACACCAATGGATGACAAAAGTTTTTTCACATCATGTTATAGTTGTTGCAGATATGTTGGGAACTCATTTTGCATCACTACTTAAACCATTAGACTTGTGTGCATGCACGCATGTATCTGCATGTGCGTGTGTGTGCACATGGGTCAGTACTGGGACTTGAATTCGGGGTTTCTCACTTTAAAATTTTTTCATTTGTGTGTCTGTAGGTCCTAAGGCTTAAACTCAAGGCCTGAGCACTATCCCTGAGCTTTTTTGCTCCAGGCTAGCACTCTACCACTTTTGAGCCTGAGCTCCACTACTAGCTTTTTGGTGGTTAACTGGAGATAAGAGTCTCATCAACTTTCCTGCCTGGGCTGGCTTCAAACCACAGGTCCCAGGCTCCCGAGTAGCTAGGATTACAGGCATGAGTCTCTGGAACCCAGCAAAGCCATCAGAACTTATATACGAATACATGCACATAGTGCTTAAGTGCATATGCTTTCAACTTAAAACAAAAAAGTCTATGAGCTGGGTGCTGATGGCTCATGCCTGTAATCTTAGCTACTCAGGAGGTTGAGATCTAGGATCATAGTTTGAAGCCAGCCCAGGCAGAAAAGTCTGTAAGACTCTTATCTCCAATCAACCTCCAGAAGTGGCACTGTAGCTCTAAGTGGTAGAGTGCTAGCCTTGAGCAAAAATGCTCAGGGACAGTGCCCAGGTCCTGATTTCAAGCCCCATGACTGACAAAAAAATTCTGTAAATAGATGAAACACTAGAATAAGGAGGAAGCTAATGCTTCAGAGGTGGTTTCTTTGCTTCCTTACATTCTTCAGAGATAATTACAGAAATTTGTAGGTTTGGAGGGGAAATGAAAATACCTGGTACTGGGTAGAGAAGCTTCCTGTTTTTGTAACATGGTGATTGGGTTGAACACAATCAAAGGACAGTGATAACTGTTCTCCCTTTTCCTGAATACATGTGCTGGTGATTAATGTCAGCATCCTTGAACACATCTAAACGAGTGGTGTTTGACTGGTGCTTTGATTGTGGTCTGAGGTGTTTTTTTTGTTGTTGTTGTTGTTTTTTGGGTCCAGTCATGGGGCCTGAACTTTGGGCCTGGGTGCTGTCCCTCAGCTCTTCAGCTCAAGGCTAGAACTCTACCACTTGAGCCACAGCGCCACTTCCAGCTTTTTTCTTTTTGCTTATGTGGTGCTGAGGAATCGAACCCAGGGCCTTGAGCATGCAAGGCAAGCGCTCTACCACTGAGCCACCTTCCCAGCCCTGGTCTGAGGTTTTGAAGCGCTACTTGGCATCTCCTTTTACAAAACCCTTACCATTCAAAGATTCCCCATGATTGATTTGGTAAAATACAGTTATGTTGAATCCTACTTGCCTTCATTTGGCTATGTATGAAATTCAGTTGTGGGTTTTTGTTTTGCTTTTGGGTTTGTTTCTTTTGGGGAGGGTTCCTGGCTTTTAATTTTTTTTTAATGTTTCTTAGCTGGTGTTCATGAAGAACGTGAGAATTGGGTGGCTAATGAAAGGAAATCTTATCTAAGAACATGACATTTTTTGGGCCCTCCGCTAGAAAAGGAGAGTCAAGTTTCAATCAGTGCCTTTTTCATTGTTTCCCCTAGTATTAGAGATGTAGGAAAGGGCTATATCATACCTCTGTACTAGGAAAATACCCTGTACTAGCTTTATGATACCCACTAGTGACTATACCTTATCACAGTTATTTGTTTATTTTCCAGTCCTGGAGCTTGAACTCAGGGTCTGGGCACTGTCCCCGAGCTTCTTTTGCTCAAGGCTAGCACTCTATCACTTGAGCCACTGTGCCACTTCTGGCTTTTTCTGTTTATGTGGTACTGAGGAATCGAACCCAGGTCTTTCTGCATACTAGGCAAGCACTCTACCACTAAGCCACATTCCCAGCCACAGTCATTTTTTAAAAAATAATGTTACACTAGAATGTTTCTTTCCAGAAGATGATTGAAAAGCTAATTAAAAAATGCTTCCAGGTCTCACAACAGTTTAATAAAAAGAATTAGTAAGTATTGGGCTGGAAGGTGGCTCAGTGGTAGAGTGCTTGCCTCGCATGCATGAGGCCTTGGGTTTGATTCCTCAGCACCACATAAACAGAAAAGCTGGAACTGGTGGTAGAGTGCTAGCCTTAAGTTGAAGAGCTGAGGAACAGCACCCAGGCCCAGAGTTCAAGCCTCACAACAACAAGAAGGAAAAGAATTACTAAGTATTATACTTGTTGTTAGATTTTTTTAAACTATGAATGCCTATAAGTTTAATACTTTTTTGGGTGGCAATACTATGGCTTGAACTCAGGGCCTCATGCTTGCTAGGCAGGTACTTTTACCACTTGAGCCAAGCCCTGGCCCTTTTTCCTTCAGTTCTGCTTTTTTTTTTCTTTTTCTGCTAGTCCTGGGGTTTGAATTCAAGGTCTGGGCAATGTCCCTGAGCTTCTTTTGCTCAAGGATAGCACTCTACCATTTGAGCCATAGCACCACTTCTGGCCTTTTCTGTGTATGTGCTACTGAGGAATTGAACCCACTAAACCACATTCCCAGCCCCCTCAGTTATGTTTCATATAGGATCTTGCAGGTTTTTTTTTTTATTGAAATGGCCTGAACAATGATCCTCTTACTTATTCCTTGTTTGTAGCTCAGATTACAGAAATGACCACCACATCTAGCTTACTTGTTGATATGGAATCTCAGTAACTTTGTTGACCAGGCAGGCCTTGAATCTCCATCCTCATTTCCTTTCCTTTAATATCTGCACTACAGGCACAAGCCACACTCTCAGGCCTACTAACTCCATTAGATCCTTATTTCCACATCACTTGTTTCCTTTGAAACCCAATGTTCTTTGTACAGTATTATTACAAATTTAAAAGCAAAAAGAAAGAACTGGATGTGTGGCTTAGTGGAGTGCCTGCCTGGCAAGTGTAAGTAAAGTCCTAGGTTCAAACTCCAGCACCAGCAAATAAAAATAAATAAAACAAAGTAAAGCCTAGCCTTAGTGACTCACACCTCTAATCTTAGCTACTCAGGAGGCTGAGATTTGAGGGTCACAGTTGGAAGACAGGCCAGATAGCAAAGTCTATGAGACACTTATTGCCAATTAATCACCAAAAAGCTAGAAGTGGAGCTGTGGCTCAAGTGGTAGAACAGCAGCCTTAAGCAAAAATAGCTTGAATTCAAGCCCCAATAGTGGCACAAAGGAGGAGGGGGAGGAGGGAGAGAGAGAGAGAGAGAGAGAGAGAGAGAGAGAGCACACAGCATTCACTGAAATATCAGAGTGCTCCACGCACAACAAATAGTAAAACCTCTGGTCCAGCCAGAGGGAGGCTAGGGATAGATGGGGCAGCCTTTTCAATACCAGGTAAGCCTCTGCAGGCAGGTGTGGGATGCTCCTGGTGGATAGTAATTAGCAGCAGCTTAGCAGACATGCCCATCCCCACCTAGGCCTGACTCCCACTTGCATAATGATGTTGAGAAGACTCGCTCAGGCAGGTTTCTAGGCTGTGGTTGGGCATGATTGTTAACCTACAGCTTGGGGCCAGACCCCATTGGGTGCTGCTGCGTGGGTTGAGGCTATACATGCTACTGAAAACCTGACCCACTAAGACGGAGAGAATGGTGGCTTCTGAGTGCAAGTGGGGACAAAGGGGAGCTGGTAGAGCAGTCTAGTCAGGGGGCTGGGAAGCTGGGGTCCTAGATTTAAGTTGCTCTATTCTCTAAATCTCTGTTCCTTCTTTTTCTGAGGCTGTGTGTCCCTCTAAGAGTCTTAGGACAGCTATGGACTTTCTCCACAAAAAATATCGAGATGATTTTGCATATAATCTGGCATCTAGGAAGTGAAGCTGTGGCTCAAAGTGGTAGAGTCCTAGTGTTGAGCACAAAAGCTCAAGGACAGCACCCAGGCACTGAGTTCAAGCCCCACAACCGATAAAATAGATATATTAAATCTTGCATCTAACTTTGGGGGTTCAATGACTCTCTAAAGAGTCATTGGGAGCTGGGTACCAGTGGCTCATGCCTGTAATCCTAGCTACTCAGGAGGCTGAGGCCTGAGGATCATGGTTCAAAGCCAGCCTAGGCAGGAAAGTCCATGAGACTCTTACTTCCTATTAACTACCAGAAAACCATAAGTGGCACTGTGGCTCAAGTGGTACAGCACTCGCCTTGAGCTGAAGAACTCAGGGACAGCACCCAGGTCCAGCCCCATGACTGACAAAAAAATAAATAGTCATTGGGTTTCCATTCAAACCTCCATTCATCATTTAATGAGTATCAGCCTTGGGCTGCCACTGAACCTCTATGAGTTTCCCTTTAGAGGGGACACATCCAGGGCCTGGCACACTGTAGGATTTGTCTTTCCCACTGTAGTGTGTTTACCGAGTGTCCACGCCTGCTGTGCATTAACACAACTGAGCATCAGTAGCCTGGATAGCAGGAAGAGCAAGTGGCCCAGAGGGCCTGGCCACAGACACAGGGATACACTGGAGGCAGTGTGGCAAGGCTGCCTGTACTGACATGTTCACGAAGCGACCTGTTGTGCTGGGTACACAGGCCTGGGAAGAAGTTTCCAGGAGAGCAAGGCATGCCCTCCTCCTAGATCCTATCTGCCCCTGGCTGACATGGCAGCCAGGCAGTGAGGCTCGTGGCTAGAGTGAATTCAACAGAAAGGATGAGGACTGGGGCTGTGGTCTCAGGTTGTTTCCTTAACACAGCTCTCCTGCAATGGGAACTACACTACCATACTCTCCTCCCTTTACCTTCATACTCCACAGCTTCTACAAAAGCCACAAGAAATAAGCAATATGTTCCCAGAGTCAGAAGGAGAATGTTCAGGACACAAGACTCCTGTATAAGATCTCAGAGCAGTCAAGCCTCAAATCAGGCCTCAGATACCCCAAAGGCAAAAAGCAATGTACCTCACGGAAAATTCTGTGGGTGGCAGGCTAACAATATAGGAAGGGCACAGGGTTTAGGGGTCCTACAAGCCCTGATTCCAGTGACTTTGGACAAGCTGCCTACTTCTCTGAGCTGAAAGGTTTCCCATCTGCAAAATGGACTGCACCACCTCCTCCCACACTCTCCTCAGGCATGCTTAGGAATGGAGCACTTAAATTAGAGATAAAGGTGGAAGAAAGTAAGAAGAGGCTGTAGGAAGGTTGCTTCTACTCTAACCTCTGCTAGAGACAGGGTCCTGTCCACACACCCATGTGCTCCCTCCTTGCCACACTTACCCAGCACGAGGAAGGACAGGACCCACTGTAGTACCGAGATGACCTGTAGCTGCTTTTCCACTTTGGACCTGTTGAGCCAGGTGATGGAGAAGAGGTCCTGGAGGGCAGAGAGGATGCTGGAGCCAGTACCTGTGGCAGAGGGAGATGACAGTTAAATGCCACCCTTTCCTGCAGTTTCAGGGGTTCCAATACCAGCCCAACATTTTGCAGGTACCTTCACAAACATGAGAACATGGGTCACAGAACCAGACACTGTCCCTGGTCTCTGTACATGTACCATGAGCATGGCCCTCTCAGGGTCACTGGGAGATCACACAGACAAGTTCTGGAGTTGAGCTTTGGTTAATCCCTCTGTAATAGCAGTTCTATGCGCTCAGCTCTGCTCCCAACTCCTGTCTCTACCCTTTTATCTGCACCAGCAAAAATATTTAACCTTTGCTACCTGGGAGGCCAAGGACAAAGGTTCAACATCTGATTTGCAATTTTTTGTATGTGTGTCTAACTGTATCAGTTGAGCATCAGTAACCCCTGTTCTGTCCCCTCTATCCAGGGACTGATGCTCCTTTGCCAAGGAGTTGGAACTCCTGCTTCCCCCTCAATACCACCAGTCCCCCTCACCTCACAACAAGCAGAGAGATTTCCTTTTAACATCAGTACAGTACTAACAGAGGAGCCAAGTGCGGACCTTTGCTTCACTAATGTACCTGGGGGCAGAGAACTTCAGGCAGCCTGGAGCTATTCTTTGCTACCAAGCAAGTGCAAGGTCTGGAGGTCAGGACAAGATGTGCCCACTTAATTGCCATTGTGGTTGTACCTCTCCAGGATGATGCCCTGCTGGAACGTACTGAGGAAGAACACAGAAAGGCCTCTAGGCCATGGCCAATCCCTCTAGCCCTAGACTAAAGTAAGGCCAATTCACGCTCTGCCCTGGCTGAGCCAAGCTGTGAGCCCTTTGCTAAACATAGCTTCACTGAGAGCCTGTTGTGTGCCCAAGCATTCTCCCACCACACACTGCTCAAAACTCAGGACAGTTGATTCAGCCATAGCCTTGTCCTTGAGGGTCTTGCAACCTTTCACCTTAACCTGCAAGCAAATAAAGAGGCTAGATTCCTATCCACTCCAGAGGGTTCATCTGTAATCTGATCCTTTGACCCTTCTATCAAAATTCCATTTTGAGATTGGCCCAACAGCATACTCTGGAGCCTGAGGGCCCTTTACATTCAACCAGCAGAGCTTAATAGATACCAAAGCCCAGATATGGGACCTGCCCACTTTAAGGTCATCCAGGTAGTAGTAGGTATTAGGTATAGTGAGTGTGAGAAGAGACATGGGTAAGTATATAAGGGAGGGAAATGAGGCTCAAACATAGGCTTGAGCTGCCAAGTGGCCATGTCACCTGCCAGCAGCCATAGCTATCAGCAGTAGATTAATGGTAGGCAAGTCAATGGTTGGCCAGTGTCCTCTCTGGAGAGGGGACGAAAAGCACTTTCTACTCAATGTGGTCTAGGAACACAGCATCAGTATTACTTGTGCTGCCTGGATCTAATCAGGCAAAGTGGTTTTATTTTTTATTGTGAGAATACCATACAGAGGAGTTACAATTACATGGGCAAGATAAAGAGTACATTTCTTATCAAGCATTGTTGCCTCCTCTTTGTTTCCCCTTCCCATCCCTTCCCATCCTGCCCCCTCCCCCAACCCGGTTCTCCCCCCCCCAAAGTTGTAAAGTTCGTTTTCAACATAACGACTTGTACATCTCATTGTTGCAATGGGTCCACCTGTATCCCTAGTTAAACGATTTGTTTTTGCCCTTCCCCTCCACAAATTATACCAACATCAAACACAGTGAAAGCATGGGTTATACTTTGGGGGTGGGACATACAAAGCAACATAGAAATCATCTTATAAATGTGTTAGAAACTGTTGCATGAAAGGAACAAAAACCAAAAAAAATTTGAATACTTATCTTGGGGTTCATTCCCCTAACATCAACTTACCTGACCTTTTTTACGACTCAGACATATACTAGTTATTGCAAATAAGGGAACCCATGGGACCTATGTTTCTTTGGGCCTGGCTTAAAAGAGTTTTGACAAGTCCTGGGGATCAGGACTTTAAAGGTCTCAATCCAAAGTGTTAGGCAGAACAAGATTGGGAGAAGGGAGAGAGTTTGGAGCCTTCCTTCTGCTGAGCAGAAAGCAGAGGTCAGGGAGGGCAGGGGATTGGCTGTCTTCTCATGGCTGCCTGCTTTCCACTGCAGGCAAGACCCCAAAGGCCAGCACTAGAGGCTCACTTCTGGGAAGGCAAGCCAGGCTGCATCTTATGTAGGCCCCTGCCTTTGGGTCAGAGCCAGCCAACTGTGTCTGGTGGCAGCACTTTGGCTCAGGGGTATCCATGCAGAACTTTACCAGTGACACACCCCACCTGGAACAACTGAGAAAACCTAAAAGTTCTTTCTTTGCCTCATCTCAATCTCCATGCTAAGTTTAATAGAGTCAGAGGGAAAGAACTCACAGCCCATGTTGTCCCACTTTCATCCCATTTTACCAAGGAAACCCAGGAGCCAGAGAACGGTGTCCCAAGTCCAGAGCCAGAGCTCAGGCAGACTCTGCCATCAGTCCATTCTATTCTTACACTAACATACCCAGTCTCAACCACTGCCCGGCATTCACTGTGCCAACAAGGTGAGAATGCAAACTGGGAAGGGGAGGGGGAGGGCGTGCTAGGATTTCTGTAGGAGGCAGTGATGGCTGCCTGGAGAAGGAAGCTGGAGGAGGCTGTGGCTTTGCGTGGTTCAGGTCCCAGCCCGTTTTAGCCTATCTACAGATGCTGAGCCCCAGGCCCCAGTGGAAGCCCCCAGTGGGCCTAAGTGAGTCACTGCTCCACTCTGTTGTGTCCACTGATGATGAACAATGACATAAAGTTCATCTTTCTAAATCACAAGTGGCCAGTATTTCTTCCAAGAAGCCACCAGAGGTAGAGGATCAGTCCTTCTCTGAGAACTCTAAGGGCCACCTTAAAGCAATGAAGTCAGGAGGGACTAGCACAAGGCCTCTTCTTTTGTGCTCATTGCCTAGTCCAAGTTGATTCCATGAGATCCAGAGCTGCCTAAGCCCAGGACTTTGTCTGATGCATATCTGGGTCTGCAGTGACCTGCCAGAGCTTGACATGGAACAGGTGCTCATAAAGTTTGCTGAGAGAGGAGAAAAGAAAGGCTGCTTTGGACATTCCTATGGACTCTATGCAGGGCTAAGTCCAAGGGGCCCACAGAGCTTTGGGCCTCCAAAGCCCTTGCACAGGCACGCAGACTCCTGCATTTGAATATCCTCACACCTGTTTTGATGGTGACCCAAATCCAAGTCATCTCAGCAAGACAGTGCCAGAGCTTGACTCTTCCCAAAGGTGCCTGATCTCAAGAGAGACCCATTCATTGGACACAGCTCATTTGCTCTCTAATTTAGGAAGGGTAGAGGGAGGGGAGATATAGAACAGCCCCAAGAAACTTCCTTGTCATCCAGAAAGCAGTTTCCTCCCTCTTAGTGGTACAGTGTGTCCCACAGCTGTGCCCCACAGCTCTCCCTGGAAGGGTGGAGAAGGCAGAGGACTAACAACCTCACTTTAGAGAGAGGAAAACTGAAGCAAGGTAAAGCAAAAGAAGTTAAGCTTGTAAGCAGGAATCTGGTACAGGTTTCTCAACATTTCTACCATATCATGTCACTGAGGGATGATCCTTACTACACCTGTGTCTACACCCAGGTTCTAGAAAGAGACCAGCTAAGGAGGGATGCTCACTCTGCCTCACACAGGATAACATGCATTGATAATATGCACTGTGAAGTCTTGTGCAACTGATTGTGGGGGCATTGTGAACCCCACCTAGGTTTTCCCACCACAGATAACCTGCTGCTAGATGACACTAGAGCCACCGGTAGCACTAGACCAAATAGCTGTGGATTACCTGCTGCCAGGTGACACTAGAGCTGTTTGCGGCACTAGATCAAATAGCTGCAAACAGGCCAGGCAAGACTGAGGTAGGCAGGTGTGTTGCAACCTCCTTGCTTTACATCTGATAATCAGAGTGACCAGGGAGGCCACACCCCCATGCTGATGAAACCAGAGTTTCCCAGGCTCTCCCTACACTTGCCTAAGAGTGGCAGAGTCTGAACAGCCCCTTAGACCCTGGGTCAGTCTTCCCTGCCTGACTATCTAGGTCACCTAACCTTCCCTTCACTTCAGTTATCGTCTTCTCCTCATATAAAGGAAAGGAAACCCTGCAGGACTACAAGGGAGAAGAAGGGAGGAAGTGTGTGCAGGACACCTGGGATTTGGTAGGTGAGACTGGTACCTGAGTACCCTGTATCTGAGTGGGAAGGGTATAAATAGTGAGCAATCAGCTTGTCAAGAGCTGCATGGAGTCAAAGCCTCCCGTTAAGAGAAGAGGTAGGAGAGTGAAGGCAGCAACAGAGAGGCATCAAGGAGGCCCTGAGGCTTCTCCAAGAGCAAGTCTAGAAAGAAACGAGGGGAGAGGACACTGTGGCTAAGGGAACTGCTCCAAAAATAGGTGCCCAAAAGGCCAAGAAAGGGGAGGAGGTAGTCAGGCTTACATAGAAGAAAAGCTGAGAATAGAGAAATAGGACTGAGTAATCCAGGGTGGTTTCCTGGAAGAGGTAAGGTGGGCGGGGCCAGAAACAAAGTGCTTAGAAGGTGCCAAGGACTAATGGTAGCCACTAAGGAAAGAAAGAACAGGGAAGCAGCAGATAATGTTCTGCCTGTGAAGAAGCTTAGACTGGGCTGAGTGAGAGAGAAAGCAGCTATATATCAACGTGTGATGTGTAACATGAAGTGGGGATGAGAGATAGGAAGAAAAGGAATTTGGAGCAAGACAGAGGCAGAGGGTCCCTGGAATGAGAAAGAAGGAACTCAGCACATGGGGAAACATTGCCCTACACAGTGCATAATGTGCATGTCCGTTTCCTTTGCCACCTCCACTACCAGCAGCTAAGGAGGGAAGAGACACACGATCCCAAAGAAGATGCAAGGGCAGGAGCCAGGAAAATTGGCCCCTACTGTGCAGGAAGTATGGCCTGGATGAGTCACTTCCTATGCAAGCCTCAGTTTCCTCATCTGTA